GGGGGGGGGGGGGGAACGGGACGCTGTCTGCCACACACTCAGTGGCAGACCAGAAGTACTTCCAATCCACTTCCAGGTCTGCCACCGAGCATGTGGGGGGTCCCCCCACACTCCTGTGGGACGCTCCATCTGCCCCACCATCTCAGCGTTCATGAGCAGTGCCTGGTACCTCATAGTATGTAGATAAACATATAAAGCTGGGTCTATCACTGAATCACTGATTCTCCAAATCAGAATCATATCTTCAGATTTGGATTCGGCCGAATCAAATTGAGACAGTGATCTGAATCAGTTAATCAAATCACTGTCCCCCAAATTGGGCCGAATCCAAATCCAAATTGAATATGGCCCGCTTTTTACACCCCTATAGCATATCCTTGTATTTCATTTTCATATTGGTGATCTAAAGTAAAGAAAGATATTCTTGTGGCTCTCTTGCTTAAGACAGGATGGGAAAAAACTTACTGATGCCAATCATCAAAAATAACTTACTTTTTATGTAATGTTAAATAGAAGTTCAAATACATTTGAGTAACAACAATGTAAAAACCAGCTACTTACATTTAGATGAAGTTGATTAGCCCACTGACCAATCACTTTGTATTCTGCACTTTTGTTGATGATTTGATATTGAAAAATATCATAGCGCCCAGGAGCATCTCCATTTTCATTGAAAATAACAGGTGTTCCAGCACTCCCTATAAACAAAGTTGTAAAACAATTGAAATACAGTCCATGCGCAAATAGTCTTGTACAGCTATCTGGGGGGGTTTCTTATGTGTTTTTTTTTTTTTACGAGACAATGTGTTTTAATCACACCGAGCAAGGTTTTTTATGGAATGCTGTCATATTATAATAAATCTAACAACTTTAAAAGACAACAGATGATAGTATTGGAATCATAGAGTAAACTGTCTATTTTACCAACTAACCAAGCCAAATTACAAAAACAAATGATCAGCAAAGTTTTCTTTGCTGCTTTAATATTAGGGAACTATGATATAAACCATGACTCTGCTAAAATCAATGGAAAAAATGCCAAGGAGTCAAGGTTTCCTTTGAGGAGTCAAGATTTCACTTAAGTTCTTTAATACAATGCAGTGCAGTACATACCAGAATCTCTCTGAATCTGCTTGGCTGAGAACCCCTTCTCATGGGAGAGTACTCATCTTAGCATAGCCATAAACTTCACTTCCTAGCAAATGAGATACTCTGAGAATGGCAAAGGCTTTTGGCTGGCATGTTGCTGAGTTCTGGTGGTTCTCAGCTGGCAGAAAGTCCCTTTGGAACCCTTGCCATGTAGCATAGGTTAATGAAACCTTTATGAAGTCAATGGAATTAAATCAGTATAAATCAGGCCCAGAGGTATTTTGGTGGTCATGATGGGCAAGAAAGATATACTGTAGTGATGGAAAATGTCCAGTACCTCCACTGTGTAAAAGAATGCAAAACCAAACACAGTATAGGTGTGGGGAGGGAAAGCCATTAGGGATGCAGTGCCTATGAATGTAGGTAACTACATTTGTAGGATATATATGTTAAAAGGCTGATGGGCCCAGGGTGAATAATGTTGTAGCTTGATACCTAAATTCGAGGAGGAAATCAGAGGTGCTCCAAATGCAGAACTGCATTTTGGTGGACACTGATATGGACTGTACTGGCTTTGTTTTGTGAAAATCTCACAACAGTACTGTAAGTTCATACTGGAGATCTCCAAAAATCAGTTCAAATTGCACAAATTTGTTCTTATTTCACTAATTTCAAGATCACATTATGATAATTTATCAGCAGGCTTCTAACAAAGTCTTTGAAGAGCAACAAGAAAACTAGGGCTTTCTGTATTTTAAATTCTGTGTGGTTATACTGCAATGAATTATACTGCACAATCTGTCACCACCTTTACCACATTTCTAATACACTCCAGCTGCCTCATAGTATATGGTCTAGAAAATTATGGTCTAGGAATGTGAGATCTGTTTTGCATAAACTAAAAAAAAAGTTGTGAATCTTTACTGATCTTTCAAACTACATTTCTGCAGAAGTTCAAATACATTCATAGTGTGAGAAATTTAATCCAGCAATCGTACGGTTAACTATACTGTAATAGCAATCAGGGGAGCATGCACAATTTTAACCATCTCAGAAGCTTCTAAAAGAAAATGACCTTTTAGCCATGAGAGCATGTGCAGTAAAGTTGGTGGTAAATCCTGAGGTAAATGCAATCTGTCACTTTGACTGACAGCAAGATTGTAACCAATTTATATGAGTGACAAGTGGCAAAGCTGATCTGATTGGATGACACTGAGTGGCATGATGTGAAGTATGAGGAACTATAAAAGGAGCATGTGGTGAGAGACTTGCGTGTGGCGAGGAACTTGTGATTTGATTTGTGATGTGAGAATAGGCAGAGACATTTGGTATTTTTGGGGGGAGGGGGGATAAGCTCCATTTTTGTGGCCTTCTGCTGTTCTCATTCCTGTCCTTGTCTGTTCATGGAGATCTGGGGATATCTGTGTAATTGTAAGGCTTGTGTCTGAGTGTCTTGTGAGACCAGTTGTTGTGCTACTCCAGGACCAAGTGTGCACTTGTGAAAAAGCCTTACTTTGTTTGCGTCTCTCCAAGGTACAGAAGGAGAAGAGCAGAGCCTTGGCCTGTTGGTTAGTGTGTAGCTATGGAAACCTAGCTGGTGATGAGTGGCCTGTAAAGTTGTTGAGCCCATAGGGACCAACCATAGTGCTAGTAAATCATGTAAGTGATTGTCAGCTTTACAGAAGCAGTTATATCCCTCGTGTATATATATGTTAGCAGCTTTTATTATTATAACAATTGATGCTATTAATAAACGTTACATTATTTTTGCACTTGATATCATTGGCTAACACACTAATATTCCACAGAACCAAGCTGGGTCCCGAGCCAGTGGTGCCATTTGGCGCTATTGGTCAGCTTGGGTTAACCTTTAACCCTGCCTATCCCACTTTCCAAGTCCAGTGAGGGTGGGTTATAGATTCCTACAAAATCCTCCTGCAGCACATTTATTAATTCATTTTTTATTTTGTTCATTTGGTAATTGCTTTCTTTACCTGTTCTGGTACCAAAATACAAGTGGAAAGTCTGTATTTCCATAATGAATGGAACCCCCTAAGAAAACTTCCATTTGTAAGATCTTTAGGCCTATTTTAAAGCTACCTTCCCACTTTTATAGCTGCAAAGGTTGGGGAGGACTTTCCCCTGTGATTTGCACAGTCCACAAAATTGCAGCCCAGCATCACATCATAGTGAGACTGCTACCAAGCTGCTTTCTCTTTAGAAGAACCAAAAGATGATAGGACAAAAACTCAACAAACGATGATGGAAAAATAATTTACATAGGTATATCAGGTGTTCTATCACATGCCAACAAGAAAAGATTTGGGCTCCCTTCATAAGGTGTAAGAAACTTGACTGCTGGGTTTCCATGACAAAAGTTCCAAAGGACAAAGATATACGCGCATCTGGACTGACCTCCTGAGTTTTGCCCATCCCTAATGAATCTGTTAACTGTCAGTTTCCAGACAGCCTTATAATGTCACTCCTGTGAATGGCTATGGATCCCTTAAAGGTTCTCTGGCTCCATAGCAACTTTGAGCAGTTATCTGCTGCATATATATGCCTTCAAAGCATTGCATACACATTGGAAATCCTGCCCCAAAATACAGTACTTCCCCCAATCTGATGAAAAGAAGGATCTTCTGTAGCTCTGAGTGGAACGCTGCTGAGCAGTTCTGATTCCATCCAATTGAAGGCAATGCATATTATCCAGGTAAATCCAATACAAAAGGAGATACTACATTTTATGAAGCCTAAAGAATCATCTTCTATCATATGTATAAAAAAATAATGTAGAACTAAACATTCTCCCATTCCTCTTGTTTTCTTCCTACGGTATTAAAGACTCTTCTTGATAAACTAGCACAGGGGTTTTCAAACTTTTTGAATCATTGCAGCCCCCTGGCAGCCAGATGCAGAGCAGTGTACCCCCAGCTGGAAGAGGGGAGGGAAGGGGAGAGGTCACAGCCAGACCCAGAGCGGTGGCAGCCACCATGTGTGAGTTTCCCCTATCCCCTACGTTCCGGTGTGTGGGCAGCACCTGCACAGCAGTGTGGGGATAGTGCATGGCAGCGCTCCATCCCCGCCCGCGTGTACCCCCTAGGACCTTCCCATGTACCCCCAGGGGTATGTGTACCCCCAGTTAACGTCCCCTGAACTAGCATATTAGCTAAGTACTGAAGTAATTAACTTATGACCAATTTTTGAGTTCTTGAAAACTCAGCTCAGTTTAAACAGTTTATGCAAGTCTGAACTGTTATTTTTAAATATAAATAAATAAAATGCATGCATGGGTTTAATATATGGAACAGGTGAAAATGGAGGTAAAGATAAAAAAGTGTTTATTTTAAATGCAATACACTACTGGCAAGGAAGAGTTTTACAGTAAATAATGCTTTAGGATGGAATATTTAGATATTAAATGTCCAGATCCACCTTAGAAGGCATTTTGGCATATAAATCTACCACTGAGGTACCATTGACACTGAAAACTGCTTTTCAGCAGCTGGCTAATCCCATTGTTAACTGAGCTTCTTCCAACAGGCATATGCACAGCTGCATTAGCACTGACACCACCCCACATCTCATAAACTGCTTGGAGGCCTAGTTCAAGCTCAAGGCATGAAATCCTTAAGAATCAGATTTTCACACTAGGCATTCTCCACTTGTCTTGCCCATGGGGCCCAATTAGGTATATGTACTCTGAGTACAGTACGAGCAGAGGACAGTCAGGACTGGCATGGGTGTCCCAGGCCATGCCTACTTGTTAAACTTCTCATGCATAGAAGTAATTCCTTTAGTAGGGCCATCCTGTTTCTGTAGAAGCAGTGTAGCCAGGGTTTCATGAAATACTGCAGGGTAGCTATTTTAGTATGGGGGTGGGCTAACTGGCACTGTCGTTCAGCAGTGCTAATTAGCTTATCTGACATGCTGCTTTCATGCTCGGAAGTAGCCTGTATGAGGTAGTGTAATATGCTTGAGAGAGACACCCAAGACATGGTAAGATTACTTTGTAAACATGGACACAGTGGTTAGGATTCACCTGGGATGTTGAATAGCAGAGTTCATACCTCTGTGCCACCTTATATTAAGCACAGAATTGAATCTGTCAGACATATTCTTGGTGAATTTCCTAACTGCCATGCTATTGGTAGATAGCAGATGGTGGATCCCTGTCAATATTTCCTTTTGGGGTTCATAGAATCACAGAAAATTAGGGTTGGAAGGGACCTCAGGCGGTCATCACCGAAGGCTGAAAACCCCTGTGCTAGTCCAACCCCATGCTCAAAGCAGGACTATCCCCAACTATATTATCCCAGCCAAAGTTTTGTTTATCCAGCTCTTAAAAACCTCCAAGCACGGAGATTCCACAACCTCTCTGGGTAGCCTGTTCCAGTACTTTACTACCCTCCTAGTCAGAAAGCTTTTCCTAATATTAAACCTAAACTTCCCTTGCTGTAATTTAAGACCATTGCTCCTTGTTCTGTCATCTGCCACCACTGAGAATAGCCTAGCTCCAGCCTCTTTTGAATCACCCTTCAAGTATTTGAAGGCTGTTATTAAATCCCCTTTCAGTCTTCTCTACTTCAGACTAAATAAACCCAGTCAC